TGCCCCCTGCTATCCCCCGCTGTCCCCGCTGTCCCCTGATGTCGCTGCTGTCCCCTGATGTCCCCGCTGTCCCCCGCTGTCCCCTGATGTCCCTGCTGTCCCCCGCTGTCCCCTGATGTCCCCGCTGTCCCCTGATGTCCCCTCTGTCCCCTGATGTCCCTGCTGTCCCCTGATGTCCCCTCTGTCCCCTGATGTCCCTGATGTCCCCTGATGTCCCCGCTGTCCCCGCTGTCCCCGCTGTCCCCCGCTGTCCCCGCTGTCCCCGCTGTCCCCTGATGTCCCCGCTGTCCCCGTGCAGAGCGAGGACGCGGGCGAGGCCGAGGAGGAGTCTGACGCCGAGAGCCCCGGGGTGCTGGGGGCCGCCCCCCGCCCCGACCCCACCACGCGCCTCAAGAAGCTCAAGCGGGGCCGCCCCGGGCGCAAGAAGAAGAAGGGTGAGCGTCCCCGAGCGTCCCCGAGCGTCCCCGAGCGTCCCCGGGTGCCACCTCCCCGCCGCGCGATGGTGACGTCCCCGTGTCCCCTCCCCGTCTCTCCTTGCAGCCCCCGGCGCCGGGCCGGGCCGGGAGCGCGGCCCCGTGGGGACGGGCACGGCGCACGGTGAGACACCCCAAGTGTCCCCAAGGTGTCACCCGGGGTCCCCAAGCCCCCACGGGTGTCCCCTGCCCCGAGCGGGGGCCGCGGTTCTGTCTCTGTCTCCAGCCCGGTGGTGGTGGCTGGGGGGGTCCCCAGTCCCTGGTGTCCTCTGAGGGGTGTCCCCAAGTGTCACCTGCCCTGTTCCTGTGTCCCCAGCCCTGTCCCCGTGTCCCCAGCCCTGTCCCTGTGTCCCCATGTCCCATCCCTGTGTCCCCAACCCTGTTCCCGTGTCCTCAGCCCTGTCCCCGTGTCCCCAGCCCTGTCCCTGTGTCCCTAACCCTGTCCCCATGTCCCTAACCCTGTTCCCATGTCCCCAGCCCTGCCCCTGTGTCCCCATGTCCTGTCCCTGTGTCCCCTTGTCCTGTCCCTGTGTCCCTAGCCCTGTCCCTGTGTCCCCATCTCCCATCCCTGTGTCCCCATCTCCCGTCCCTGTCTCGCCATGTCCCATCCCTGTGTCCCCAACCCTGTCCCCGTGTCCCCAGTCCTGTCCCTGTGTCCCTAACCCTGTCCCTGTGTCCCCATGTCCCATCCCTTGTCCCCAAACCCTGTCCCCGTGTCCCCAGCCCTGTCCCTATGTCCCTAACCCTCTTCCCATGTCCCCAGCTGTGTCCCTGTGTCCCCGTCTCCCATCCCATTTGTCCCCATCTCCTGTCCCTGTGTCCTCATGTCCCCGTGTCCCTAAACCTGTTCCCATGTCCTCAGCCCTGTCCCTGTGTCCCCAGCCCTGTCCCCAGTTCCTCCGTCCCGCTGTTCCCAGTGTCCCCATGTCCCCATCCCCTCCGCCTCCTGTCCCCAGTGCTCCCATCCTCAGTGTCCCCGTGTCCCCATCGCTGTCCCCAGTGCCCCCATCCTTCTATTCCCAGTGTCCCCATGTCCCCACCCTGGAGTCCCCTGTCCCCAGTGCCCCTCAGCCCCATCCCCAGTTCCCTCAGTGTCCCCATGTCCCCACCCCTGTCCCCAGTACCCCTCAGCCCCATCCCCAGTTCCCCCAGTGTCCCCATGTCCCCATCCCTGTCCCCAGTGCCCCCACTGCCCCCCACTCTCTCTGAGGGGGCACGGTGGCCACAGTGACAGCAGTGACAGGGTGGCAGAGGTGACAGCAGTGACAGGGTGACAGAGGTGACAGCAGTGACAGGGTGACAGAGGTGACAGCAGTGACAGGGTGACAGAGTGACAGGGTGACAGCAGTGACAGCCCTGCCACCGTCCCCGCAGGGCCTGGCCCCGAGGAGGAGGGCGATGGCTACGAGACCGACCACCAGGACTACTGCGAGGTGTGCCAGCAGGGCGGGGAGATCATCCTGTGCGACACCTGCCCCCGCGCCTACCACCTCCCCGCTGTCCCCGCTGTCCCCGCTGTCCCCTGATGTCCCCGCTGTCCCCGTGCAGAGCGAGGACGCGGGCGAGGCCGAGGAGGAGTCTGACGCCGAGAGCCCCGGGGTGCTGGGGGCCGCCCCCCGCCCCGACCCCACCACGCGCCTCAAGAAGCTCAAGCGGGGCCGCCCCGGGCGCAAGAAGAAGAAGGGTGAGCGTCCCCGAGCGTCCCCGAGCGTCCCCGGGTGCCACCTCCCCGCCGCGCGATGGTGACGTCCCCGTGTCCCCTCCCCGTCTCTCCTTGCAGCCCCCGGCGCCGGGCCGGGCCGGGAGCGCGGCCCCGTGGGGACGGGCACGGCGCACGGTGAGACACCCCAAGTGTCCCCAAGGTGTCACCCGGGGTCCCCAAGCCCCCACGGGTGTCCCCTGCCCCGAGCGGGGGCCGCGGTTCTGTCTCTGTCTCCAGCCCGGTGGTGGTGGCTGGGGGGGTCCCCAGTCCCTGGTGTCCTCTGAGGGGTGTCCCCAAGTGTCACCTGCCCTGCTCCTGTGTCCCCAGCCCTGTCCCCGTGTCCCCAGCCCTGTCCCTGTGTCCCCATGTCCCATCCCTGTGTCCCCAACCCTGTTCCCGTGTCCTCAGCCCTGTCCCCGTGTCCCCAGCCCTGTCCCTGTGTCCCCAACCCTGTCCCCATGTCCCCCTGAGGGGTGTCCCCAAGTGTCACCTGCCCTGTTCCCGTGTCCCCAGCCCTGTCCCCGTGTCCCCAGCCCTGTCCCTGTGTCCCCATGTCCCATCCCTGTGTCCCCAACCCTGTCCCCGTGTCCCCAGCCCTGTCCCTATGTCCCTAACCCTCTTCCCATGTCCCCAGCTGTGTCCCTGTGTCCCCGTCTCCCATCCCATTTGTCCCCATCTCCTGTCCCTGTGTCCTCATGTCCCCGTGTCCCTAAACCTGTTCCCATGTCCTCAGCCCTGTCCCTGTGTCCCCAGCCCTGTCCCCAGTTCCTCCGTCCCGCTGTTCCCAGTGTCCCCATGTCCCCATCCCCTCCGCCTCCTGTCCCCAGTGCTCCCATCCTCAGTGTCCCCGTGTCCCCATCGCTGTCCCCAGTGCCCCCATCCTTCTGTTCCCAGTGTCCCCATGTCCCCACCCTGGAGTTCTCCAGGCTGTTTTGGGGTTATTCCCTGTCAGTTTGGGGTCTCCAGGCTGTTTTGGGGTTATTCCCTGTCAGTTTGGGGTCTCCAGGCTGTTTTGCTCCCTTCCCTGGTGCTGTGTCCGTCCCTGTGGGGCTGTTTTGGGGTCACCCCTCTGACCCCGATCCGTCCCCAGGAGAAGGAGGGCGTGCAGTGGGAGGCCAAGGAGGAGGAGGAGGAGGAGGAAGAGGAGGAGGAGGAGGGCGAGAAGGAGGAGGAAGATGACCACATGGAGTACTGCCGCGTGTGCAAGGACGGCGGCGAGCTGCTGTGCTGCGACGCCTGCGTGTCCTCGTACCACATCCACTGCCTGAACCCGCCCCTGCCCGAGGTCCCCAACGGAGAGTGGCTCTGTCCCCGCTGCACGGTACTGGGGACACGGGGACATGGGGACACTGGGGACACCAGGGGGTATGGGGACATGGGGACAGCAGGGACACTGGGGACACAGGGGACAGCAGGGACACTGGGGACACGGGGACACTGGGACAGCAGGGACACTGGGGACACTGGGGACAGCAGGGCTCTAAGGGACATGGGGACACCGGGGACACCAGGGCGTATGGGGACATGGGAACACTGTTGGGGACATGGGGACACTGGGGACATGGGGACACTCTGGGGACATGTGGGGGGGTTCAGCATGGGTGGGGCTGTCCTACTGGCACTGCTCCTGGATCAAGGAGCTGCAGGTACACCCCCAAAAACCCGCGGGACCCCAAAACATCGGGGGGACCCCAAAAACCTGGGGGGTACCCCAGAGTATGGGGGGACACCCCAAAATGTGGGGGGGTTCAGCATGGGTGGGGCTGTCCTACTGACACTGCTCCTGGATCAAGGAGCTGCAGGTACACCCCCAAAAACCCGGGGGACCCCAAAACATCGGGGGGACACCAAAAACCTGGGGGGGGTAGCCCAGAGTATGGGGGACTCAGCATGGGTGGGGCTGTCCTGCTGGCACTGCTCCTGGATCAAGGAGCTGCAGGTACACCCGGGGGACCCCAAAACATCGGGGGGACCCCAAAATATGGGGGGGTACCCCAAAGTATGGGGAGCTCAGCATGGGTGGGGTTGTCCTACTGGCACTGCTCCTGGATCAAGGAGCTGCAGGTACACCCCCAAAAACCCGGGGGACCCCAAAACATCGGGGGGACACCAAAAACCTGGGGGGGGTAGCCCAGAGTATGGGGGACTCAGCATGGGTGGGGCTGTCCTGCTGGCACTGCTCCTGGATCAAGGAGCTGCAGGTACACCCGGGGGACCCCAAAACATCGGGGGGACCCCAAAGTACATGGAGGGATTCCACACTTGACTTTGGGATGCCCTCTCTAACTTTGCGGTGTTCCACTCTAACTTCGGGGTGTCCCCCCTAACTTTGGGGTGTCCCCCTTAACTTTGGGGTTTTCCCCTCCAAATCTGGGGGGTTTCCCTTAACTTTGGGATGTCCCCCCTAACTTTGGGGTGTCCCCCCTAACTTTGGGGTGTCCCTAAAATGTGGGGGGGTTCAGCATGGGTGGGGCTGTCCTACTGGCACTGCTCCTGGATCAAGGAGCTGCAGGTACACCCGGGGGACCCCAAAACATCGGGGGGACCCCAAAGTACATGGAGGGATTCCACACTTGACTTTGGGATGCCCTCTCTAACTTTGGGGTGCTCTAATTTTGGGGTTTTCTCCTCCAACTTTGGGGTGTCCCCTCCAACTTTAGGATGTTGCCTTTAACTTTGGGATGCCCTCTCTAACTTTGGGGTATCCTCTCTAATTTTGGGGTGTTCCACTCTAACTTTGGGATGTCCCCCCTAACTTTGGGTTTTTCCCCTCTTACTTTGGGGTTTTTCTCTCTAACTTTGGGATGCTCTGTCTAATTTCGGGATGATTCCCTCTAACTTTGGGGTTTTCCCCTCCAAATCTGGGGTGTCCCCCCTAACTTTGGGGTGTCCCCCTTAACTTTGGGGTTTTCCCCTCCAAATCTGGGGGGGTTCCCTTAACTTTGGGATGTCCCCCCTAACTTTGGGGTGTCCCCCTTAACTTTGGGGTTTTCCCCTCCAAATCTGGGGGGGTTCCCTTAACTTTGGGATGTCCCCCCTAACTTTGGGGTGTCCCCTTCGGTCTCGGGGTGCAGCTGGAGATCTTCCACCTGGTGATGTACCGGAACTACCAGCGGAAGAACGACATGGACGAGCCCCCTCCCCTGGACTACGGCTCCGGGGACGACGACCCCAAGAGCGAGAAGCGGGGGGCCGGGGGGGACCCCCTTTTTGGGGGCATGGAGGAGCGCTTCTACCGCTACGGCATCAAACCCGAGTGGATGACGGTGCACCGCATCATCAACCACAGGTGGGGACCCGGGGCACCCCAAAATATCCCCCCGGGGCACCCCAAAATATCCCCCCGGGGCACCCCAAATACCATCCAGGGCACCGCGGAAGAACGACATGGACGAGCCCCCTCCCCTGGACTACGGCTCCGGGGACGACGACCCCAAGAGCGAGAAGCGGGGGGCCGGGGGGGACCCCCTTTTTGGGGGCATGGAGGAGCGCTTCTACCGCTACGGCATCAAACCCGAGTGGGTGACGGTGCACCGCATCATCAACCACAGGTGGGGACCCGGGGCACCCCAAAATATCCCCCCGGGGCACCCCAAAATATCCCCCCGGGGCACCCCAAATACCATCCAGGGCACCCCGAAACCCCCCAGGGCATCAAACCTGAGTGGGTGACGGTGCACCGCATCATCAACCACAGGTGGGGACCCGGGGCACCCCAAAATATCCCCCCGGGGCACCCCAAAATATCCCCCCGGGGCACCCCAAAATATCCCCCCGGGGCACCCCAAAATATCCCCCCGGGGCACCCCAAAATATCCCCCCGGGGCACCCCAAAATATCCCCCCGGGGCACCCCAAAATATCCCCCCGGGCTCGGGGTGCAGCTGGAGATCTTCCACCTGGTGATGTACCGGAACTACCAGCGGAAGAACGACATGGACGAGCCCCCTCCCCTGGACTACGGCTCCGGGGACGACGACCCCAAGAGCGAGAAGCGGGGGGCCGGGGGGGACCCCCTTTTTGGGGGCATGGAGGAGCGCTTCTACCGCTACGGCATCAAACCCGAGTGGATGACGGTGCACCGCATCATCAACCACAGGTGGGGACCCGGGGCACCCCAAAATATCCCCCCGGGGCACCCCAAATCCACCCGGGGCACCCCGAAACCCCCCAGGCACCCCAAATCCCATCCAGGGCACCCCAAATCCCCCCAGGGCATCAAACCCGAGTGGATGACGGTGCACCGCATCATCAACCACAGGTGGGGACCCGGGGCACCCCAAAATATCCCCCCGGGGCACCCCAAAATATCCCCCCGGGGCACCCCAAAATATCCCCCCGGGGCACCCCAAAATATCCCCCCGGGGCACCCCAAATACCATCCAGGGCACCCCGAAACCCCCCAGGGCATCAAACCTGAGTGGGTGACGGTGCACCGCATCATCAACCACAGGTGGGGACCCGGGGCACCCCAAAATATCCCCCCGGGGCACCCCAAATCCACCCGGGGCACCCCGAAACCCCCCAGGCACCCCAAATCCCATCCAGGGCACCCCAAATCCCCCCAGGGCATCAAACCCGAGTGGGTGACGGTGCACTGCATCATCAACCACAGGTGGGGACCCGGGGCACCCCAAAATATCCCCCCGGGGCACCCCAAATCCACCCGGGGCCCCCCGAAACCCCCCAGGGCACCCCAAACCCCACCAGGGGCACCCTCAAATCCCTTGGGTCACCCCCAAATCCCCAGGGAACAGCAGGGTGGCCGAGGGGAGTGGCCGAGGGGGGGTTTGGGGACACTGGTGGCACTCATGGGGACATTCTGGGCACTCCTGGGTCCCATAAGGGCCCCCCAGCACCCACTGGGCACTGTCCCCAGGTGACCTGTGTGACACTGTGCCCCGTGTCCCCTCCATGTGTCCCTGTCCCCAAGTGTCCTGTGTGACACTGTCCCCCGTGTTCCCTCCATGTGTCCCTGTCCCCAGGTGACCTGTGTGACACTGTCCCCCATGTCCCCTCCATGTGTCCCTGTCCCCAGGTGACCTGTGTGACACTGTCCCCCATGTCCCCTCCATGTGTCCCTGTCCCCAGGTGACCTGTGTGACACTGTCCCCCGTGTCCTGTCCGTGTGTCCCTGTCCCCAGGTGTCCTGTGTGACACTGTCCCCCGTGTCCTGTCCGTGTGTCCCTGTCCCCAAGTGTCCTGTGTGACACTGTCCCCCGTGTCCTGTCCGTGTGTCCCTGTCCCCAGGTGTCCTGTGTGACACTGTCCCCCGTGTCCCCTGTGTGTGGCACTGTCCCCAAGTGTTCTGTGTGACACTGTCCCCCGTGTCCCCTCCATGTGTCCCTGTCCCCAGGTGACCCCGTGTCACCTCCGTGTGACTCTGTCCCCAAGTGGCCTCATTTACATTCCGTGTCCCCAGCTGTCCCCGTGTCCCCTCCGTGTCCCCAGGTGACCCCAGTGTCCCTGTCCCTGTCCCTGCCGGTGACAGCGGGTGACCCCTGGTGGCACTTGTGTCCCTAACACGTCCCCTGCTGTCACCCACACCCCGGTGGCAGTGACACTCCCTGCCGGGACCCTCGGTGCTGCTGGCTGTCCCTGTGTCCCCAGGGGTGCCCGGTGTCACCCGGGGGTGCCCTGTGCCCTTGGGGACACTCACTTGTCCCCATGGGTGTCCCCTGGGTGCCTGATGTCCCTGCTGTCCCCACGCCTCTGGTGACGTGGTGCCCTGGGTATCCCCACGCTGTCCCTGCTGTCCCCATGCCCCGGGTGACGCAGTGCCCTGGCTGTCCCCGTGCTGTCCCCGTGCTGTCCCCACTGTCCCCGTGCCCCGGGTGACGCGGTGCCCTGGCTGTCCCCGCGGTGCCCTGGGTGTCCCCATGCTGTCCCCACTGTCCCCACTGTCCCCGTGCCCCGGGTGACGCGGTGCCCGTGCTGTCCCCATGTCCCCGTGCCCTGGGTGACACGGTGCCCATGCTGTCCCCGCGGTGTCCCCGCGGTGTCCCCGTGCCCCGGGTGATGCGGTGCCCTGGCTGTCCCCGTGCTGTCCCCGTGCTGTCCCCACTGTCCCCGTGCCCCGGGTGACGCGGTGCCCTGGCTGTCCCCGTGCTGTCCCCACTGTCCCCGTGCCCCGGGTGACGCGGTGCCCTGGCTGTCCCCCCGGTGTCCCCATGCCCCGGGTGACGCGGTACCCTGGCTGTCCCCGTGCTGTCCCCACTGTCCCCGTGCCCCGGGTGACGCGGTGCCCTGGCTGTCCCCGTGGTGTCCCCACTGTCCCCGTGCCCCGGGTGACGCGGTGCCCTGGCTGTCCCCGTGCTGTCCCCACTGTCCCCGTGCCCCGGGTGACGCGGTGCCCTGGCTGTCCCCGCGGTGTCCCCACGGTCCCCATGCCCCGGGTGACGCGGTGCCCTGGCTGTCCCC